GCGGATGATTTGTCCTGGCGCTGATTATGACAGTAGTACCGAAAGCTGACTGTTTAGAAAGCAATGGCAAAATACTGAACGTAAAATTTATCTAGAAGAACCACAACAGCCAAACATGCTGGGGTCGGTTCTACAACGTCATATAAAGGATACGCAATTAACTTTATTTTATATACGTAAATATACTGGTGTGCAGTTTGTAAATTGAGCAGGATTTCTCTAAACCCTTTTCTGCACTGTATAGCATTACCAAAGCCGTTTCAGTAAGTTATGAGCTTTCTTTTCCTTACGTCCTTTTTAGGACGTAATTTTTTGTTATTAGAAGCCCCACTCTGGTTTTTGCCAGGGGCCGCAATATAGGCAGGCCATAAATATGGCCAAATGTCTGAACGCAGTTTCTGGGACCTCTCCACGGTGATCCTCATCGACATGGTGGCACTTTGTGTCATCGGGTGTTTATCGCTTGTGTGATGTCCTGGTGGGGTACAAATTCATTCATTCGTTTCAGTAAGAGGTAGCACCGCTGTAACGGTTTTATAAATGACTTTCAAAGGCTTTCAGTTAAGACAATGTAATGTCATATAACTCCTCAGTGTTAAATGGAGACCTCAGTTAGCATCCACGAAACGTTTGAACAGTTTTATTAGGGATACTCCCTCTATATTTCACAGATCAATTGACAGTAGGTGGATGATGATTAATATCGCGACGGCCGCCTTCACTTCCCAAGACTTTACATTTTACCCATTCAAGACTGGATTCATTTTTATTTTTCAAAAATCAAAAAATTAAAAATTAAAGAAAATTAGGTTTCGTCTTGATTCGAACCCTCGACAGACTGAACCGTAAGGCGATCGTGTTTGTCACAGGTCAAAAGTGCTTCAAGCTTGCTGGCTAAGTTCACCCAAAAACCCGTAAAACACAGTAAATTATGGACCGTCCATCGCAACTCGAAATTTATAAATAAAACTAGAAGTAAAGAACCCTCTTTCACACCTTCAGGCGTATTTGGGTATATAGGGCTAGACATATATTGTACAAACCAAACGGCACTTGGTGGGTGATGTTGTCAGCCTTCACTTCCCCGGACGGTATCTGGTACCTACTCAATGCTGGGTCGACCTGGGAGCCAAAGTGAAAGAAGCCTAGCTCTCCTTCAGGACCCGACCCCCCGATCCGTAGCCGAGCGGGAAATTAATACATGTTTGGTCTAAATGAAATCCATCTTTGTGTGCACCAGTTCACACTGTACTGCAGGTTAGACAGTTTTGCTGGCAAATACTTTCCATCTTTTCGGAAGACACCGTTTTGTTAAACGTTAAAGTCTCAGGTCTTTGTCAAGGATTCAACTTCACTGCATTCGGGTTTTCCCATTACTTGCTCCGTTCCTGTGCTGGCGACAATCACATGAAATCTTCCCCACTCTCCGATTTGAAAAACGTGAACTGAAAATTATTCCCAGAATAATTCCAGAAATACGCACACATAGTTAATGTATAAGGCGGTTGCTTAAGATGTGGGTATCAAAGAAGATATAAGGTTTTGTTTCTAGCTCTTCCATAGGCACATCGTGCTGTTATAGAGTTTCCCTGATGATATCCTTCCATCTTGTTCTTAGTCTACCTCGTGCTCTACGTCCTTCTTCTCTGTCCATGTATGCTGTAAAGTGGTCATGTTTAGCAACACCTCTTTTGATTTGATATTCTTGCAGTCTAAGTGTTGCAGATTCAAGGTAGTTTCCTCAATCATCTTGTCGTCCTGCCTCCTTTAGTGCACTGATAATGTCGGCCCGGTCCATTGCTTTTCCTGTACCTACCGTGGCCCTCCCGAGACATCAACCTGCGGCGTCCGTGGCTTAGGCGTAGCGAGTCCGACTGGTAATCAATCCAACGTACCGCGATCGAAACCCACTGCTGGCTGCGTGGATTTTTATCGTGGTATGGGGCGTCGTAGGTCGATTCAGCCTAAACTGGTGTTGTGTGCTAAATTGAGTCAGCACACTACCAAGTGTCTAGCAGGTACTCTTCAGCTTCCTTTCTTAACAAGACAACTCGACGACGATGACACCGTCATACAAGTTTATTTAACAGGATACATGACACAATTGCAGAGACGTAGTTATTGATCACAGCTGACATTCGCACATCGTTCATTTGTCCTCACAGCTCTCTATCTCAGATACCAGGATGGCGGCGTCCCACTCTCTGGACGCGTCGTACAGCTGAACAGGACGACTTCTCCCATTCACTGGACCTTGATATTAATTCAGCATACAACACGGTTGACTGGAGACGGACTTCTCTTGCCGTACTCCGAAACCAGACACTACTGGTCTTCCCGTCCCCTGGACTTACTTTGCCAGCGGGACCATATCTCCCATACCGCAATCCTGACA